GCAGAAGACTGTGGTGCTACAGGCTTTTCTCATGACATTTCAGGAAAATCCTTTAGCTCTTGCTCCCAAGACCCTGGTTACCAGAAGACAAGAATAGAAGCAAAGAAAGCCCCCCAGCAAAGCTTCAACTACCACTTTCACAGAACAAAAGACCCTGGTACCAGGCTCACAGACTTTCTCCCCACCTGCAAGTAGCCCTTCTGTGAAGGGAAGAATAGTTTTGAGTGTCATCTCTGAATATCACATTAAGAGCCTGAAATCAGCCACAGGTAAGCACTTGTGGTGAAAAGCTGATGCATTCTTCAGATGAAATTCCTGCTGCCACTATAGCTATTATCCCATGAAAACAGCACTCCAGTTTTCTCAATACCTGGCTACTGATGTGTAAACTATTCCCAGTTCATCTTAAAAACCTTGTGATTTAAAAAAATCAGTGAGACTTTCCTCCCACATTTATCACATTACCAACTCAGCTATTTGCTGTTACTTAAAAAATATTTGTTCTCCTAGAGTGTCAGAATTCAGGCACGTGTTTATTACTGAACATCAGAAAGGCCGGTGTTCAAGGTAGTCAGTTGTTTAAGACGACTTGGCAAAAAAAGAAAGAAACTATTTCTGCTCAGAACTGTTTTTAAAAGGGTAATCAAATTCACCTTTACCTGGCCTACTAACTTACAGAATACTACAGGGATGCTGTTGGCATAAGAGCTACATGCCACTGCTTTGAAACCTTCCTGGTCACTATGCTCAACCATCCTCTGTCACAGTTCCTAACACTATAACCAGTAATTTCCTTGCCATATCACAGTTACACAGGATGGAGTTGCTCACAACTACCCAGAACTTTTATTTGGTACCATTAGCATGACTTACTTTTAAGAAATACGGTAAGGCAGCACACCAAGAGCATCATCTTACAATGCTTCCATAACTTCAGTTCCAAACTACCACTTCTCACTACTGCAACTGCAGCCCAACGCAAAGTCAGCATTCCTCAGAAATTTTGATACGAGTATCAAGTCCTTCATGCTGGAACACGACTGTCCATGAACCAGAAGACTGTGAGCAACATCAGCAGTATCCAGACTACCACAGTATCAGTATGCAGTTTGAGCCTGGCTAGTCATCTGCATTACAGACCTGGATGAGTAGTCAGGACAGCTCTAGTAATCATCATCACCCCCTTAAAGGCTCAATATGCAAGTTGTAAAGCAGCAGGCAGACCCTTAAAAAAACATTTCCCCCATTCTAATGCAAAACACAAGACAGCTTTTCACAATTCATTAGTTCTTATGTCCATCACCTTTTTATCCTACTCTTTCACCCTTCTTCCAACTAAGACTTACCACAAAGGCTACAAGAAAATAATGCAGGAACATTTATTCTACACCCATTTTCAACTTCCATTTTATCATCGAAAACACCCACATCCACAAAAAAGGACTACATGTCAGACAAGTTCTTCAAAACACTACCTGTGGCATTAAGACTCATGGTCCTGCTCATTCAGCCCTCTGTACCTCTGAAGTCAAGCATCCTACACCATGTTATTAACACAACAAAATGTTTTGAATTAGTCTACTAATAAGACTTTTAAAAGATCCAGATTCATGCCAATTGTTGGTCAATAGAAACAGCCTTCTAGGACTAAGCCCTTACATTTATAAAGACGCCACAAAATCCCTTATAATAATGTAAACAAAATAAATTTTCTTCTTAAACTTCTTAAATTTTAATCCATTCTTCCAGGACTTGCATTCCTTCAAGGGCTTCCTGATGGTGAGTGACTGAAAGGGAAAGAAAAACATAAAGAGCAACTGTTACAGTAAAAACCAACAGAAACTCTGCATGCTACCCCAGGTTTCCCCTACTCAGAAGCACCCCCCTGCCGATAATGCCCCTCTGCACACTATTTTCATTTACAGTTCAGAAGTGAGAAAAGTGTTGTATTTACAATTATTTATGGTACACCTTTCTAAGTAAGGACTGCTTTAAGCTTGAAAAGGACAGGAAAAACAACAAGAGATAAGCTGTAACAGAGTCTGCACTCTAGCTGTGAAAAGGAATTTGTACTGGGCCACAACCTACATGGTCAGCATAGGGCTAGCCACAAGGCACAGTCTCAGACCCTGTAAATTGCAGCTCATACTTCTCCAGTTACATTGGAAAATTTGCTGCTTACTTCACAGTGCATAGCAAAACATGGTAGCTGTGCAACTGACAGCCAGTTGTGAGGAGCCACCAGCAGGAATTTAATCCTACCACGTATTACATGGTTTGCTCCATACCTTACATTACTCACTTCTTCCCCAGATTCTGAACTCCTCAGGAACTTCAGACAGTTGATTCTCATTTGCCCACATTTTCTGTTGTCCTTTAGAATTCCACTAAAGAAGGTGGCCTCAGAGTTATTATCACAAAGTTCTGAGGTTCAGCTGTAGGAAGTGCTCATAAAACTTCATCTTTTCATAGTAGGAAGTACCCATAACAATTCATCTCTTCATAGTTCACAAATTTAGACAAGCAAAAAAAAAAACCTTAAAAGCTTTTATCCTTGCACAAGTTAACTTCTTTAGCAACCACTCCCAGCACTAGTTCTATGTAACAGTACAGCACACTCGTTTTAAGACATTTTTACCTTCTCTTTGGAGACGGTGATCTGGACTTTGAGTGACTGTTAAAAAAAGAAAAAAAATCCA